CATTTAGAACAGCTAGACACATGAAAATATCTTAGCATGCTGAATGTTTAGCACACAGATCACTGCCTGAAAGCAAGCTTCATCAAAAGGTGAACATTTAGAAGCGCTTGTAACAGAAACAGCAGCTTTTTATGGAACAGTGTGATTTTCTCAGGCACGTCTTGAGAAGACAACTCTTTTAACTGGTTGTGCAAACCAATAATTGCATATTCAGCTGTCCACTAACTATAAAATTACATTTTATTATTATATAAAATGGCAAACTTAGAACCACTTAGTAATTGAAAAAAAAAAAAAGGCTTAGAAAATGAGTATATAACTTTCAGACTTAATTGAGCCTGTGAAGTCTGAGTACATTAAGCAACTTAAGGATAGGTGAAAATACACCCGAACAGATCTACACAGTATGAAATGATTTTACAGGGATTAAGAGTACAGAGTAAACACTGTCTTCATGCGCAAAGTTGATGTATGTTTTGGACATTTAGCATCTAAGATACTTCTTGAGTATAAAGATTATAAAGGGATGCATTTATCATGCTTGTTGATTTTTTCACTTATTTACAGTGTCTAAGGAAGTACACATCACATTTATCTCTCTTGAACTGAGCTGTAAGCTAACAATTAGCATTCAGAGGGATTTACTGTAGACTGAGAAATGAGTTTATGTATGTAGATGCCTCTTTGATGTAGCCCTGTTCACACAACATGCACACATCATTCTCTTTTTTCTAGGCACAGCAAGAATTGAGCACCAGAGGAACGGTGCCTCTATTTGAAAAGACCAGGCTGGCTTCCAGAAGGACTCAGCCAGGTGAGCTCCCTTGTTTGACTTTCTTCTGGGGCTCCCACTGCCCATGAAATGACTCCTCACAGCTAACACCACTGAACCCACTCCCACCTGCAATTAGTACCCCGTGATCCTGCTCTGCCTCCAGCCTTCAGCACTCTGCTTTTCTGGGTTATTGCTCTGACTGGTTCAGATGAGTGACTCCAAACATGGACTCAGCTGCTTCTCATATATAGTTCAAGGGACAAGTGAGTATTTCACACCCTCTGCTTCAACGAAGTCCCATACAATCTGTCACAACAATGCTATAATAAATGTTAAATTGGTGACAAGACATGTAGAAACCAACTCGTGTTAACCACCCTTTTAAAACAAGGCTAGTCAAGGCCTGTAGGCATGTTAACATTTTGAAAACATATCACTTAACGTTTCATCATTCAACTGTCCATCAGTAAGGCAGAACCATCAGCCACTTTACAATGGGAACTATAGGAAATCACTGCAGAATGACTTATCCAGACGAGGCAGAAACAATTTCTAAGTAATACATGTAAAAAAGAAAAACTCCTTCCACTGTCAGAAAAGCACTTAAGTTTTCTTTGTGATTGCTGCTTTGCACTGCTATAAAAGAATTCTGAGATCTTGTTATAGAGGCTCACAAGATCACAAGTTTTCCAAGACCAGCATGAGAGAGCAGGCTGCCTCAGGCAGCAGCAGCTCCCTGGAGCAGAAGTTGCAGGCCACATTCAGATTGCTAAAGCCAAAAGAAACCTGCTCGCTTGCTGTGATGCAGATATGCTGGATGAATTTATAGGAGATAAATGTCCTGTTAAGGATTAGCCTTAAGGACTTCCAGATATATTCAAACAAATAAAATTATGGGTACGTTTCTACTTTAACACTGACAGAGACAACAAAAACCTATTCTTAACTAAATAAATGTGAATTTCAGACCATGGCTGTTTGACCACGGCCTTCTAAATGTTTTGTGACACTGAAAAAAGAGCAGACTACTGTATAGTTACCCACTGCATGGACTTCTGTGTCCTCCTTCAATACATATGATATAGGACACAGTGTAAGGACAAAGCACTGGTTTAGATGGGTAACTGTGCTTTCCCACTGACAGAATTCAAATACTTGCCATGTTTCCAATGTTGTAGCTTAGTTTCATCATTATTTTTTTGCTGCTATTATGTTTTCATTTATGTATTTACTCCTTGTTTTATATACTTAAGTAGCTCAGAGAAGGAGTGAACTTCAAGGAACACACAATCTGCAAAAGTCTGCATAGAACCCAATCCAATACACATCATAGGAAAAAATTCTGAATGTTTTGGCCCCATCTCTAAAAGAAAGTTCAAGTTTTAGATCTCTGACAGATGTTAGTACTCCATTCACATTTCATGTTCAAACCTGTAATTTGAAAACTTGTCTCAGCTTTGCCACAGGCTTCAGTAGCCAGACTGGGGCACTGTTGCCCAGCTAGAGTGGACTCAAATGTGCCACCATGTCTGGATTTCAGAACTGTCTGCCTCACATGCAACACACTGATAAAGTACAACACATCCGCTCCACACTTCAGTATGCAACCTTTTCTTGACTCTTCTTGTGGTTGCAATTAATACTGAGGAGGAGCAGGAATCTTTCTGTGCATCCAGGAGTCATTTTTCCAACCTGGCTTCCTGAGGAATGAATCTTATATGATAACACTTTGCTTGTTTGTGTGCATCCCACCATAACTTCTGAGCCCTCTGGTCAATTCTGAACAAACAGACTGAAAGAAATTTCCTGTAAGTTGCATGGAAATAAACAGTCAGGCAGAGGAAAATAAACATATAAATGTCTCCAGTGAGGGGACGATTGCAGCCTCAAATTTTATTAGACATTGTAAAATCCATCACATAAAAAGCTAGTATGAATGTCCCAAGAATGGGAAATGTTTCATTCAGAACATGGACCTATTACAGGTCATTTAATTGCAACACGAGACAGAAACCATCATCAATTAGTAATGCTGCCCCCTGAACTACTGATGTTTACCTGTCAGTGAAAACCTTCTTATGAAGTCTATAGCATCATTTGCAGTAGTAGACTTTGTGTGGGGAATTGACTGTTTTACAATGCGTATTGTAAATATTTTATATTGCTCTCAACCTGATAGCACAGTGACAGGGAATGCTAGACATTTGGGATACTCTGGAGGGGCGAAAATAAATGACAGCTCTCAGCCCAGTGATGCCCTTTGAAGGGACCCTAGTTAGCAAAAAAATGATATAAAATAATTGTGGTTAAATCCCAAGAGAGCTTTTGGAGTGTCATCCACAGGCACCTTGCTGAGAGCAGAAGTAATTAGTTCCAGCTGAGCACACAGACACAGAACTTTAGAAAGGTCTGGCTCCTTTTATGCTAGGAGAGAAAAGGCATTTCTGTCTAGAAGCCAGGACAACACACTCTGGAAACAGGAGAACAGCCTTGTTTGTTCGTTTGGTGTTCAACTAGGTGTGTGTTGTGGAGCTGCAGGATGGAATTGCATTCACTGCCTGTGAAAATTATGGGTTTCTGTTCACTGAGTAGCTGAAAAATTCCCATAAAATACTATGCAGAAGTTTCTCTGCTTCACAGGGGAGTCCTTTGAGGTCACTGTTCAGCAGCCCGAGACTTGGCCTTCCTACAGGTGTTCACAGTGTGCTAGACAGTTCCCAGGGACATACGTCAAGCTCACTCTTGGGAGGCTTTCCTAAAACATCTAATCTAAACACTGGTATTCCTGCACTTTTATGTATATCTTTGTGTGTTCTGGCACCTGATAAAGATTCCGTTACTTTCAGTGAGTGAGTGTCACCTGGTGATACCACAGCTTCCTCTGAGGAGGTGCTCTTGCAGAGTTCATCCTTAGGTTATACGTGGGCTGTTCTTCCCCCCCCCCCAGAAACTCCAGGAAAGACGTCTAAAAAACTCCACTTTTGTGCATCTTGTTTGGATTTCTTCCCACTACAGAAGGTACTAACTAAAGCCCAGCTGTTCTGGGAGAAGTGATGGCTCAGCAGCTGAACTCCTGTTGTGTACAGAACAGTAAAAGCACGAAACGACATGCGAAACCTCTGCCAAGTATTGACGGAGCAGCTCCAGGTTCGTTGTTAGAAGGACCACTAGTGACTACTAAATGCCATCAGATGGTTAAGGACAGCCAGTTATGGTTTAATGACTCCTCTTGAGGTCCTGGGAAACTAACTCGTAAAAAGCATCAGAGGCCCACTACATCCCTTTGTTTTTTAACTCGCCACAAAGGCATTTAACTGAGCATGCCAGAGAGCGGGCTCTCTGATACAAATGGATCTGGCTGAGCAAGACACAGTTGCTGCAGCTTCTCTAAGGCAGAGAGAATAATTTAATCTTCTTGGCTGCTCAGCCCTTGGTGTAGGTAAGACCAATACTTTTTCTGCAGTCACAGTGGGGTCCTGCAATTTATTGCAAGCTTATTTCAAACTACACTGACAGTATCAAATAATGAGCAAACAGGCTATTACTGTGTATGAAAAATGCATCACTTCTGTTCAGAAAGTAATTCTAAAGAAGAGCTCTTTTTCAGATTTACAGTTGTGCCTCCTAAAATTATTTAAATAGTGTCCTTATTCCTTCTATACGTAATAGATAGTTTTGGAGCATAGTGTGCTGCAGGCCAAAACATTAAACATTTATATGTAAATGTGAGCAACATTTTACCTGAGTGACATGAGGAGCTCCTGAGACTTTGAGAGCCAGCCAGCCAGCACACAGCACTGAACTGCACGTGCAGACAAGGAACATTTTCTGTATTATTTGTAAGGAAAAATATTTCCAAAATGATCTATTTTTTTAAATTTTCCAATATTACCACTTTTAATCAGATCTATTCATGTGTTTTTGCACTAGCCAACACTTTAAAAAAAGAAAAAAAAAAAAGAAATATAAAAAATATCTAATAAAAATAATTTAAAAACAGTACAGTTTTCCATGGATCTGGACACTTACCTATAAGCAAAATTACTAATACATCTGTGATGTAATAATCAAACAGGAAAGGCTTCTGCCAGACTTCCACACCAACAGTGCCAGTGAGCAGATATGCTGCAATTAATACCTATAGAAAAAGGATAAAGTATTTTCAATCCTTTTAAAAGCACAGAATTTTGCTTATCATGTTAGTATAAAGGCAAGAGTAAAAAGATCTGTTATTTCCCTCCTGTCTCCACTTTACCGGGCCTTATGCTGCCATCCCAAAACAATTACTTCTAAGCAGTGAATCAGCTTCCAGAGTCACCAACAGAATTATTTAAAACATATGAAATCCAGCAAGCAGGCAACTTCCCTGCTAATGTGTGTGTCTGTTTGCATTTGGTAAGTATTACTGACATACCTTTTCAAAACACCCAATTTCTAAATCCCTTCTTAGAGCCAGGTCTCCCCACTGCAAATGCATTTTCTTGTATTTGCATACAGACTTCAGAATTAGCAATGTGGTTATTTTTGCAGCTCAGCCCTCTGAATTGGTCATATCAGAATAACTGAGAAGGGGGAAAAAATCTAAGCTCACCTGAAATAATAAAAAAAATCCTACTGAATGTGGAGATATAAAAGAAGGGCAGGGAGCAGAAGTATTCCCAGATGTTTAATTTGTTCGACAGATAACATCATTACAGGACAGAAAAAGAAACAAGTAGTCAAATGTCATTAGGATTGAAAGGACTCAAACACAAGACTCATGAGTCACTTAACATGCTGAAGTGCCACAAGTTTCTGCAGTGATGTAAATATAGTTTCTTCTCTCTCATCAGAGTTAATTTTGTGACCCAGCTGAGGTCAGAAACCTTAATGCAATCAAAACCTCATAGCTCCTATAGCTATACCCTTCATACCCATTGTATTGCTTGCAGCAACACCGCCTACTAACCATTTATGGAACAAATTGTTGAAGTTTTACCATTTAACATGTCAAACATGCAAGTGCAGTACTGAACATGATACAAGGGTTCCTAAGCCCTTGTATATCTGTTCCCAGGTAGCATTCAGTAAGTTTTATTTTTTCTGTTCAATACAGCTTCTCACTCTGGGATGACAAATATTTCCCATCTTTACTTGTATGATAGGTTTAATTAATTTTTGTTTAGTTTTTTTAAATGCTCATTTTTACGATTATAGTTTACCACTGTGGGTTTTTTTTTTTTCTTTTTTAATTTCAACAAATACAGTTGATAGAATCATAGAATCATTTAGATTGGAAAAGACCTTTAAGATCAAGTCCAGCCGTAAACCTAACACTGCTAAGTCCACTACTCTGCTAAATGAAATTAATTGCTTTAAAGATCCACTAAAAATCTTTTTTTCTAGGTAACAGGCTGTTTAAGATCATAGATCAGTAGCAGAACACTGATGTCCATTGAACTCCATATTACACCTAGGTATCACTATATTTTACTTCACTTACTCCTCCAATCTAAAGTTAAGATTCTTGCCCTATCACTCTGTAACTTTTTAAAGAGTTTTGCTTGAATGGAGCATTGCAGAACTGGATGTTTGAATTGCCTCTGCCAGAACAAGCAGCACAACAGATCACAAAATGGTCAGCATTGGAAGGGACTTCTGGAGATCATCTAGTCCAACCCCCCTGCCAAAACATGTTCACCTAGAGCAGGATGCACAGGAACACGTCAAGGCAGGTTTTGAATATCTCCAGAGAAGGAGATTCCAAAACCTCTCTGGGCAGCCTGTTCCAGTGCTCTGTCACCCTCAAAGAAGTTTTTCCTCATCTTCAGATGGAAATTCCTGTGTTACAGTTTGTGCCCATTGGTCCTTGTCCTGTCATTGAGCAACACTGAAAAGAGTCTGGCCCCTCCATCTTGACACCTACCCTTTAGGTATTTATAAGCACTGATAAGATCCCCTCTCAGTCTTCTTTTCTACAGGCTAGATCTGCAATTGAGAAGAGCAGGCACTAATATGAAAGTTATGTCTTGAATCATTGAAGACAGTGAATCAAATTTTGGTCTAAATGAAGGACGTGTATAATAGGTTTTGCAACTGACTACAACAGAGCTAAAATTTGGCTTTCTGAAGAAATTGGATTATGCTATCCATAAGACATGACGGATGGACTCCTGGCCCCATCAAAGTTGATGGAAAAACTCCAACTGGCTTTGATGGAGCCTGAATTTACCCTCCCATGTTGAATCCTGAACAGACTTTTTTGGCAAGTGATGAAAGAGCAATTTCAGTATTATCCATTATTACAGTCAGTACTTTTGGCAGTGCAGATGTCAGCACACCTCTAGGAACAGAAGCATCAGCGCAATGGGCTCTCTTGGGGGACTCCCCTGCTCTGGGATTTGGTGGTGCAGCACTCACAAGTTGAGAGATTGCCTCTTATTTAACATATGTTGTATATAAAAAAACAGTCTTTGGCTTCAAATTTTTGGTATGTTGTTTTTTAAGGACTCATAACTGACTTCACCGAGGCAGTCTCAAACACCTCCTTTAGAAAGCTGGAAGGACAAGAAAATGACTGCGTCCCTTGATCTAAGCTGTATTAGCAAAAATTGAAGATTGTCATAATTATTAGACAAAAACTAAGTATGTTAATCAGCTGTATTAACAAAAATTGAAGATTGTCATAATTATTAGACAAAACCTAAGTATGTTAATCAGCTGCATAAAATGTTTTTAAAGGCATTGCTGGTAAAAAAAGTTCCTCAGTACAAATGAATAATTTATTTAAGAAAAGATAGCCAGGTTTATTACTCATGTCTGTCATCGATCGGCTTTAGTACTTTTCAGATATAAATGTAGTCTTTAGCAAGTAAAAATAATTGCAACCTTTCATAAAATGAGAAGTCCAAATTAAATAACACAAGTAAGGACTACATAGGAAGTTTAGTGTCAGACATGTACAATCTCAGATTCCAACTCACTGCAGCATCTGACTAGGAAAATTTTTGGCTTGCCAAGGCCTTATCTACGACGAGGAGTAGTACTTATGTAGATGAACACCTGGAAATACATGGTGCTGTTTTGTAGGCCCTTTGACATGGCTGAACAGCAGGACAGCTGGCTTCTGAGCAGTGACACAGTCACCTTTGTCCCTCTGTAAAATCAGAATATTACTTCTTTAATGTGGCATCAGAAAAATTCTATATAACAATAAGGCAGTATAACTCTTCAAATGAAATCTCCTAGCTTCTAGCTTTTTAACTGTTCTCTAAAGTATTTGATTTTTTAAAATCACCATCTCTTTCATGTCTTTCTGCTACTGCAAGTATAAATTTTGTGACCAAAATATTCTAGATTGTGTGTGTGTGTACATATATTTTTTTCTCCCTAATGATTTACCATTTCTGTTCTACACACAGGCAAATTGAGTATGCTGTATGGAATACTACACAGGAAGAAAAAGAAAACATTTTCTCATCTTTGTAAAAAATATACTGGTTATGCTTTTAAATTCTTTATCATTCCACAAAAAAAATTACATTAGTTTTACTGTAATAGTCAATTTCACTAGTATATTTCAATAGCATTAATTGTTCATGTGTTCAAATATTTTCCATTAACATAGGGCTCAAACTGAGCATCTAGACAGAAAAGTAATTTAAAATACAAGGTTACTTTTTTCCTCTTAAAATAAATGTGACACTTGCCTAAAAAAGTAAGAACTCATTATTTCCTACAAGTTCTTTCAACAGGAGTTAGCTTTATTGTGATGTGTAATTTTTCCATTTTAATTTTTTGCTCTGTACTTTTTCTTTCAATACAAAGTTAAAAGTGGAAAAATTTAGCCTATAAAAATAGTTTTTTATATGTCTTAAAAAGGTCATCTTGCATTTAGATGTGCTAGGCAAACAGCTAAAGGAAGATTAATTATCAAGAAAGGTTTGAGCAGAATCATAATCGAGAGGTTAAGAATGAAGAGGTCTGAAGCAGAAAGAGCCTGTGCACCACAGGTTGCTCTGTTCAAATTTCACATGGTTATACTACGGGGATTCCCTCAAACAACCGAGTACTGAGTTTGGTTTACAGCTGTGTCAGGAGGCAGCTGGCAGCCGAGACCATGTCCTGGCCGGCACTGTTTCCACACCACTATCAGTTCTCTTACTCCAACAATGCCAATGCACTCCTACCTTTGTAACTAAATAATAATCAATATTATTTCTTCATAGGTCAGGCTATGCTTTCCACAGACATTTCAAATGTTCTTAGAAAAACTCTCTATGTGAATATCTTTTTAACTAAACCAAAAAAGATTCTGAATCCTGATTACACGACCAAAGAACAACACATTTGCCTCTCTATTTTTCTTTTTAATAGAGACCTTTTTGCCCCTCAGAAGAGACAGAACTTTTTAAAAGATGTGACGTGCACTTGCATTGCTCAGGATTTCTCTGTCAGTTCCTGAAACAGTGGCTGCCACAGTAATTCCCAGGAAAAGGTCATATGAAACATACTTCAGCATGACTTTTGTAAATTGCTTCTCAAAAGAAAACCTAGTACATGATATCCAAAAAACCTTTCACATGTTTTGACTGAAAGGAAAGAGAAAATTAATTTCTACTATGTTTAAGTTGCTACCTGCATCATATACTTCATTTATCTGGAGTTTCAAGGCAAGTAGAGAATCATCCCTAAGAGCCTAGGAGCACCGGGGTTGAGGCAACCCCCAGTATCAACACAGGCTGGGGATGAAGGGATTGAGAACAGCCCTGAGGAGAAGGACTTGGGAGTGCTTGTGGATGAAAAGCTGGACATGAGCCGGCAATGTGCACTCAGCCCAGAAGGTCAACCATATCCTATCCTGGGCTGCATCAAGAGAAGGATGGCCAGCAGGTCGAGGGAGATGATTCTGCCCCTCTACTCCCCTCTTGTGAGATCCCACCCAGAGTACTGTGTCCTGTTCTGGAGTCCTTGGCACAGGAAAGACATGGATGTCTTGGAGCGGGTCCAGAGGAGGGACACAAAAATTATCAGAGGGCTGGAACACCTCTCCTATGAGGACAGGCTGGGAGAGTTGGGGTTGTTCAGGCTGGAGAAGAGAAGGCTCCAGGGAGACCTTATCATGGCCTTTCACTACTTAAAGGGGGCCTATAAGAAAGCTGGGGACAAACTTCTTAGTAGGGCATGTAATGACAGGACGAGATGTAACGGTTTTAAACTAAAAGAGGGCAGACTTAGGCTAGATAGAAGGAAGAAATTTTTTAATATGAGGGTGGTGAAATATTGGAATAGGTTGCCCAGAGAAGTGGTAGAAGCCTCATCCCTGGCAATATTCAAGGTCATGTTGGACAGGGCTCTGAGCAACCTGATCTGGTTGCAGATGTCCCTGCTCACTGCAGGGGGGTTGGACTAGATGACCTTTAAAGGCCCCTTCCAACCGAAACCATTCTATGATTCTGTGATCCTACGATCATCCAGTGCCATCGGGCAGAACCAGCTGGCAAAGCATCTCAAACCAAAAACCTGGGGCTTATGGTCCAAGCACCCATGCCTGCAGGTATGCCTCTATACAGGATTTACGGTCATCCTCTCCTTACAAGGCTATGGCAGGGCCAGAGAGAGCTGCTTGCTGCCTCTCACACTTGCTACCTGCGCTTTTGTGGCTTTTTTCCAGCTTGTCCTCTTGGCTGGGAAAAGTGAGGGGAAGGAGCATGGAATTGCGTGGGTCACCTCAGCTCTCATGTAGCTCTTATTTTCACTCTTAAACTTTTATTTAAGAATATAAAGTGTACCTCCCTGTTACATTTAAGGCAGCACCGATCTAAGCAAATGTATCACTACATCCTATTAAGGAAAAACAAATATTTTGTTTCCCTACTATGAACTCAACTGCAGTGGCTTATGAAAAGCAACACTAGGATCTGGGGAGCACTTCATTAAGGGAATATTAACATTTTCAGGAGAAAAGTAGATTTTTAAACAATCCAGAGGACCGTATGTGAAAATTAATATATGGCAGAAAGCCTGAAATTTTCATTTCTCAGGAAAGCTTTGTCTTTTTTTTTTTTTTTTTCTCTAAGAAACTTAATTTGCAGGTATTAGCTTTCTTTGGTTGGGCTTGTGACAAGATGTATCAAAGAACAAAGCAAGGGTTTCTTTCTCAGCCATCTCTTCAGCTCATGACATTTGGGGGGTTGTGGTTACCTGAAAGTGCATGAAAATTGTCTAGATGATACAGTGTAAAGAGGCTCCTCTCTCTGCATCTTTTTCTGCCCACAGAGCAGTCAGCAGAATACAGCTCCTTGTGCTATAGGGAGGATGGGGCAAGAGTTTTCACTGTTGCAGATGCCTCCTCCTTGATTCTGGATCCACAAACATAACAGTCCTCTGACCAAGTGCCTCTCAGACCCATTACAGCCATTTTTCAAGTTTACACACCATAGTTTCCTATAAATGGCTGTCTGCTGTAATCAAAGCTAATTGGAATGCCAATTACAGCCCAGCTAGTGCAAATAGTCATCAAGTCACGGGAAAATGTGATCTGCATAAGTCCCACAAATTTCTCTATTCATAATGAGGCATTTTTTCATGAGGAACAGTGGCTCTTTTTACACCACAGTTAACACAGAGCCCGTGAGCGGGTTCTCTGTGTTTATACACAGTGGAGCTGACTCAGCAGCAGTGTCCTGAGAGCTACATGCCAATTAAGCTTTCATTAAGGTCAACAGTTACTATTTGCACACTTATACCAACTACTGTATTTCCTGAGCTTCATGGTGATAACAAAGTCCAAAGTTCCTGGTCACCATAAATTTTAAAAGCAGAAGCATGGGACTAGACCACCTGAATGTCTGACATGCTAATGCAATAGCATCATGTTGTCGGTGTAATTATTGAAGACAGAGTAAAGAGGCACATTCATGCAGCAATCCAGCCACAGAGGAAATAGTGAACTAACTGCTGGGAATTAGTCTGAAAGCAGCTTGTGAGTGCTTCCATCCTCTCTGCCTCTGACTGTGGGAATATCTGGCAGAGCAGTGGCATGAAAAAACAGCAAAAGGAACACAACCTGTCTTACTCATCATCAGCTATTTACTAACGTCCTCAGTATCCTCTCCTCCAAGCAGCTGGAGATGAAGAGCTACCTTTAATAGTGCACACATCATGCCAAATGGGTTTCCAAACAAGAGCAAGGCAATGTTTGTAGGGGAATTAAGATCCTGCTAGACTAGTTAGTACAGCAGGAAAAAAACACATTATGTACTTTCTGGTGTGCGTGAAATGCAGTTTGGACTAATGGAAAAAATACTACCTTGATCTACAAACCCTGTCATGTCTTTGTTCATAGGCAATCACAACTACAAAAGCTAATGTTTACAGATGGGAAAATTGACATTCAGACACTTCAATAGTACAGCCTTCCACCACTGGTGATTTCACTATATAGGATCTAAAAACCCCTACATTTATATGCTTATCATTTTGACTGTAGGCAAATCATCACAGAAGTTACTAGAAAGTAATCATGCAGGACAGCAATTCAGCATCAGAGAAGAACAGGAAATAGCACTTGTTAGCACCTTGCATCCAAGTTAATCAAAGCAGTTCGCAGACTTTACTGAAATTCAGCCTCACCACAAATCTGTCAGGCAGGGAAATGTTATTACTGTTATTTCCCAGAGGGGAAAGCAGTGACAGAGGCATAGGTCACCAAAAGGCACTGACAGAGTTAACAGGACTGCTCTGCTACTCGATACCCACTCCCATATTTAACCACTAATACAGTTTGGATGCTGTAGCAATCCAAAAGAGCTTTCTAAACGTTCACATGTATATTTACAATGATCATCTGAGCAACAAGTGAAACTGGTTTGAATGTAGCTATTCCTCTCCTGCTGGAAGAACTTCACTAAGAAGTCTTACACAGACATGGCTGAAACTTATAGACCAGCTGGCTGCCTAATGTGTTAGTCCTGAGCCAACTTCTTCTCCGAGAACCTATGTTCTAGGGGACAAAACAGATGCACCACAGCTGGACCACCATCTCTGAGTTGTTCTCAAACCACTGGATTCTGATTATGTTTACAGCAATACATCTGTAGCCATTAATTCAAATACTATATTTCCATTAAAACACATATTTGAATATTTGTCAAACTTCTTTTCAATTATGTACATTTGGTTGTACCTTTCATCTCATGCCTGTGACAGGAAACTCAGAAGACTGGGCCTGCACTCTTCAGGCTGCAAGAGTCTGGCTATCTAAGAAACAGATAAGACACCCCAGAAATCCCAGTGCCAGGCCCTTGGCAGTGCAATGAGCTTATTACTGCTGCTACTCATTTGTGCACTGAGGCTACCACTCACTGTGGTGCCCTGCTCATGTTTCCGAAGAGGTCCACCTCAAGGTAGGGCTGTAAGCCAGTCAAGCACTCAGCTGGGGTCTGGCTGTGGGCTGATACATAATTCATGTTACTGAAAGTCTTTCCCAGAGAGGAAGCCTCTAATGGTATGACTTTGACTCTTTTTCAAGGGTAAAACTCACTTGACAACAGTTCATGCTCACTGTATAGGCACAATGCTATTTCCATTACCACTTTCAATGTCAGAGGTGGTAGAATTGAGAAGGTCTAGTATTGTACAACAGTATAATTACTGTTAAAAATATTACTTGGACTATTTCACATCATGCCTCAGAACCTAGTGTTGGTAGGAAAATTGCTTATGGCTTCAGATAGCGTAATAAATGTTGTTAATATCACAAATCAAATGCAGTTAAATTACATTCTCATGGGCACTATCTGACTGCTAGGCCTGCTGCAAGACTGTTTTTTTCCTGCAAGGTAATGCATCTCTGATGCTGACAACTTGCTCAAGAGCATCCCTTCTTTGCCAATGCAGGAAATATTTCTGAATTATTTTTAGGGTTATGCTATTTCACATTCAAAATCTTGGCCAATTGCATTTGCCTTGAGTTCTATTTTTCTATTTCTGTAATATTATGAAAACACTAACATAGTTAAGAAAATAAAACCAAAACAGGAATGATAAATACTTACCACTTGGCTTATATCATATCCCCAAGGAAGAAAAAGAACTCCTGTGTTATATTTCTCCCAGTGTGAACACATAAAGTTAAACAAAACAATGCTTAAATATATATACATTGTATATACAGAAACTCCAGTCTTCCCATTGTCACGGGAACAGACAGAAAAAAAAGAAAGAACAAAAATGGAGGTAGCCCAGCTATCCAGCCCATGGTCAAATAATTCTCCCAGAGGAGTACTGGACTGAGTCCTTCGAGCATGTTTCCCATCTATGGAGTCTGGAAGGATTGGGAAAGGAAAAGAAATAATGAATTAGAGCACAACAAAAGGAGTGACTTTCATAGAATCATAGACTTTCTTCACATACACTTTGTTACTGCCATATATAACATGGCAAAAATACACTGATGACAGCAAACTGAAGCACAACAGTCCCTTCAATGCCAACATGAGAGCATTGCTCAGAAAACAGCTGCCTCGTTTACCAAGTACTTCTTCTGTCCTCACCTCAGCTCTTATACTAAATGCCACCTTCCTTACAAGCTGTAGAAAGAAATTCATAGTTACCTGTCCCCAGTGATGTTTAAACACTTATATGTCAGCCCCTGCAATCTGTTTCTCAATTAAAGTGCTGATAATAGTCCATAGGGCTTCTTGTCCGTCCATTGGTGCCGTGGACCTTCTGAGACTTCAGATCGTTTGTCAGGTAGATTCACTAAGGCATTTAGGTTGCCTGATGCTAAATGCCTCAATGACTAACAGTTACATGGCAGCCTCAAGGAGCAAATTTCACAAAATCTATTTGTGTGTGTGCCTACACAAGATATTTTAAGGAGTCTTTTGGTTGAAATCTTAGGATACAAGAGCCAGCAGTGTGCCCAGGTGGCCAAGAAGGCCAATGGCATCCTGGTTTGTATCAGAAATAATGTGGCCAGCAGGACTAAGGAAGTGATCCCCTGTACTCAGCACTGGTGAGGCTGCACCTCGAGTACTGTGTTCAGTTTTGGGTCCCTCACTACAGGAAAGACATTGAGGTGCTAGAGCATGTCCAAAGAAGGGCAGTGAAGCTGGTGGAGGGTCTAGAGAACAAGTCTTATAAAGAGCGGCTAAAGGAACTGGTCTTGTTAAGCCTGGAGACAAGGAAACTGAGGGGAGACCTTATCGCTCTCTACAACTACCCGAAAGGAGGTTGTAGCGAGGTGGTCGTCAGTATCTTCTCTCAAGTAACAAGCAACAGAACAAGAGGAACGGCCTCAAGTTGCGCCAGGGGAGGTTCAGGTTGGATATTAGGAAAAATTTCTTCACCGAAAGGGCTGTCATGTATTGGAACAGGCTGCCCAGGGAAGTGGTGGACTCACCATCCCTGGAGGTATTTAAAAGACCTGAAGATATGATCTTTAGGCTTATGGTTTAGAGGTGGACTTGCAGTGTTAGGTTAATGGCTGGACTCGATGATCTTAGTCTTTTCCAACCAAAACAATTCTATGATTCTAAGAATACCTTACTGTTCAGGTGAGTTATGTGTTGATCACTTTTAATACTTAAGTGCTTGAAAGATGCTCAAATGCTGTTCTGGATCTCACTCTGAGGATGCAGTTGGACAATATGGTTTGAGTCAATCTGAGAGTTCACTGCTGTTGAAGAGGGGTGGACCTTCAGCTTGCTCAGCTGGTGGAAGGACAGCAAAGATTAAGTTTTCTTCTCAGCCACCGAACAGAATTGGTGCTGTGAATGGTACAAAAAGCAAGGGAGGTGGCACAAGGGAGGGGTGGTGAATGCAGGGAGAAGGAGGAAGTGGGTCTAACAGCTGTAACCTTTCTTAGTTGTACTGTCAAACCATAACCTTAGTCTCTGCTCTAAGACTGTGCTGGCGAGAAGTAGAAATATTATCTTCTAAATGTTAAGTGTAAATATGCAGGACAAACCTCTTAGGAAAAGGTACACAGAACAAACCTTACAGATTACTTATTTTTATCCTGAATCTCAATGTTACTTGGAAGGTACTATAGCTAATAATTATTAGCTATTGATAGCATTAGTAACCCAAAACTGACTAGACAGACAACTCAGCAGAGTGATACCAAAGACTCCACAGCTGCTACGGATCATATGCTACTTACTTCTCCAGATTATTTGGCAGTACATTTGTTTAATGTAAATATACATCAGGGATCTAAAACAGGAAAACATGGGATTTCATTTTGTACAGATTTTAGACTATCTCCCTATTGTAATACCTAAGCAGCTGTAAGATATCCTCCACTCAAATACAAATCTCTTGAGACAGTTCTCACAACTCTAAAAATTAAAGATCTCACAGAGGATTTCAAATACAGCTTGCCTCCTTCTAGACCTGTATTTGCTCTCCATTAACATTGCCATTGAATTGTCAGCATCTTACCAAATAGTGCAGAAAGAAAACTGTGTGTAGAACCTTGAGGTTACTTGAATAGTGTTATTATAAAAGTAGAAATTGTTCAGTCTATGTTTTAGGTTTCAGTTTGAAATAATTCATGCCAACAATGGTGTACATCAATAGTGAACATGTGGTGTCCCACACTTCCACTGCTTTAGAATCCTTATAGTATGATTTTGTCTCATGAAGGTTCATAAATTTCAGTTTTATTAAAGTTTATATGACTTTTAAATAGTGGAATTCAAAATAACAGCAAAGAGCATTCCACGTTACGGCGAGGGAAAAGATACCAAACTACCTTAACAAAGCGGAGAAAAAGAGCAGCTTGCTAGGGAATTTGGAGAGAGTAACTGTGTCATTAAAAAGAAGCTGAGAGAGATTAAAGCTGCGTATTTGGTTAGTTATTATGGCTCTTTGCAGTCTTCCAAAGGGAAAACTTTGGGCATGCAGAATTAAATCTGAGACTAAATATTTCATTAAGTGGCTTGGACAGCGGACACAAAAATCTACATATACATCAGTTCATTATAGCTTTGATAGAAGGGGGTCATGGCTCTACATGCTTGGGTCTGATACCAGAAGTGGCCAGCATCTTTGTATAACACTGCAGTGTACATCTAGAACACATTTATATCTAGCCTGGGTACCTTAAGTATGGGACACAAATGTATGGGTACACTCTGCAATGCAGGGCCTTCTAAGAACCAGCTCCAAAAGAGAAGGCATGTTCACACAGCACAATGCAGTCCAAGTAAATATGCCACCTTGAGTCCCCCCAAAAAATGAGCTCTGTTGCACTACGTTGTGGAGAGACTAGGTTGGAATGAGTTTGCTTTGGAAGAGAAAGCAAGAAAGCCATGCTAATCTGTATCTCACTCCTAGATCTGCATCAGTTCAGGTCTATGTCTTCATACCACTGCACAGTAAGATGCAATATGCCTGAAAATACAGTCATGGTAGAATATAAAAAGGAAAATGGAATATGAAACTGAAAATGAGGTATAGGTGTTATGGGAGAAAAAGAGCAACAGGAAAGGAAAAATAAATACTTTATGTCCATAAGAAGCTCAGGCCTGTCACCACATTTATACCATCTCTCCTGACACACACCATAAACAGTGAAGTGCCTAACAGGCTAAAACACAATGCTACACTCACTTTTCCTTTTCTGTGCTTTGCCCTTTATTTTCTCCATCTCTGAAAGCACTCTCTGCTAATCTAAGTGTCAGGGAGCTTTGCAGAACATCATTGCTGGGGCACAAAGATTTTTATGAAACCCAACAGTGATGACTGCTGCTATGGAATGATTTCTATTGTTCCTCTAAAACAATATGAACTTTCAAGAGAGATAAGAGCAACAGTCATAGAACCTCTAATATAATTAAAAATTATGTCGTATGGGGTTTTTTAACTCTTATGGATGTTTTTTTGGGGTGGTTTTTTTTTAATCTCAGAGAACTCTTTTGGAGAGAGATGAATAATTTATCCACAATGCCTTTTAATCTCTATATCAGCACTAGTGAAATAGTAGATAAAAATATATGAAGACATCAGACATGTAAATTATTTCATTGTACTTTACCTAAAGCGTAAGCACAAAAGGTGGTGAAAGCACTGAACAGCCACACCCAGGTGGGAACAAGTCCAGGACTGGTACCTGAAATAAATCAGGTAGTGAGTCAGTGTAACAGTTAATATCAAATAAATCTGCTGAGATATGCATGTACACATGAACACTCTGCCACTGATTAAGCCACTATGTCCAAAAGATTGAAATATTTGGGTTTGCCCTTCAACCAACTCATCAGTGAGCTTTACCAACTAAGCAATGAGCAAGTTTGAATACACTTATACTGTAAAGGCAAGAAGATAAAGGAGAGTTTTTTTGATCCTGAAATGATGCTACTATTGCACAAAATAATGATAGTAACTACGCAAAAATTTTCACAGGTCACAGGAAGACTACCCATCAACAAATTAGTTAATATTTATGTAAAATCCAAATATAAAAAATGTAGTTTTCATGCATGATCACTCTTGTTAGCACCACCGTGGGTTTTGTATAGCACTTTTACCATACAGATCTGAACAGGAAATTTTTGTCCTTAGGCTAGGACAGATATTAGCACCCTTTTTTTTCCCCTCAAAAAAAGGAAATTAATCTGGAAAAGAAAGCTGAATTGGACAGAACCCAGGGTTCTATTATTGCTCTGCTGAACAAAATAACCCAAGGTTATTGTTGGTCTTTAAAAAAAAATCAATCCTTTTTCCAAAGAGCTTTTCCAAAGAGCATTCTATTTAACTTAAACAGAATCCAATAAGGGCTCTGCCAGCACTAGGAACAACTGTATATGCAAAGCCCTCTCAGGTTTCTGGCATTCGGCAGCAAACAGAGGGAATATCTGCACACTGAGATGTGTCCTTGCTGAACAGGGAGATGCCAGTACCTAAAGCAGTGCCCTGACCATCCTTCTCTCAATGCCTCAGCTTGTCACTCTGAAAGAAAAGATGGTTATTCCTGACTCCTAGCTGCAAATTTTCAAACTGCAGAATGAAAACCAGCTGTCCAGGAAATTAAGCCTTTTATTTCGGATCCTAGGTATGGGATTGATATATGATACTCAAAAGACTCATTAGGTTGCATGAAAGTTTTCAATCAATTGAGAAATGATGGGCACTGTTCTCATGTGAAACTGAGAACAGGCTTGCATATAGAAATCTCAGTTCTAACAGACTTAATCACCATTTCAAATGTCTTCAAGTTCAATGTGTCTCTACTGGGAATGTGTCAAGATAAAATAATCCCATTAAAAGATCTGTGCTGGATGCTCTTTTGTCACAGAACTTAGTAAATATCAGCTGCATTGATAAAATTCCAAGTGTTTAAGGATGAGGCCAGATAACTACATAACGTGCTGGTCCTTAATACTTAATACTCATATAGGATTATTTTTTAACCCAAACTGCTAACAAGTATCCTGGCTTCGAGAATTGCTGTGACAAATGTACAAACAGCTCACGCCAAAGGGCACCTCCTGAATCTAACCACAGGCATAAGAATCAGAAGAACATTAGGGTGGGTTTTTTGACTGTGTATTTAAATCCTGGCATACACTTAAAATAAAATGAGATATTATCATAGACCTCAAGCAGTACATGTTGAAACCTGTATTTAGGGATAAAATTAAATAAGCTTTTCCAATAAAATTACCTAAATTTATAATGCCATGTGTGAGGCCAGATCCTCCTATATGGACATGGAGCCTCATTAAGAGAATGAGTGGAAGATTCTGGTATCTTCCTGTATCATTCAGAAGTATGACATAAGTAGCTCTGTAATTCTGAAAAATTACAACATAAGGATATTTACCTGAGGCAGTGTAGTCCCAGTCATAAAAAGATATTAGAAAATAATTAACTAAAATCATGACAAATCCAGAGAAGGTTAACAGGTTGGGAGCAATCCACAAAGGCACTACCTGTTAAAAGAGAAAGAAAAAAAAATCAAAGAAAAAACATATTTTAAATTATAAGTCTTTTTTTAATTAATATTTTGTATTTTTTTATCAGGAAAGGAGAAGGCTGTACATGACATTAGCAATGTTCAGGTTTGTGCACATTTTCCCATTTTCAAATTAAAATACAGTTTTCATTTCAGAAATTTATTTTCAAATGTAATCCTTTTGCCTGGCCTTTATGCATGCAGTAAAAATGTCATTTTAAAATGCCATATTTCATATGGTGTACACTATCCTTATCTTCCCAGGCACCAAGGAAAGCTTCTCGCGAATTTGTGTATAGCAACCAAAAGAATACTGCAGCACCCCAGTGTGGTAATTCAGCATCCACGTGGCAGGCTTTTTTTAAGCATCCTATTCCCATACTATAGCAAGGAAATTTCCTCTTCTAAAATATGTTCATAATTTCCAGCTCAAAACATCAAAAAAATCAAACACTGAGTCCATTACTCTCCTAGCTTCAGAAGATCTCCCTGTTCCAAGCAGCTCCCTGCTTCTCTAGACAGTAACTTTCTGCAGGGTCTCCCTCTTAAGCCATAAATTATAAACATTCCTTTAATTCATTTTACTTTTTAGAGTGCTGGAAAGGATTTTACCTCTTCACCTAAGTCTCTAATTCTTTGTTCCATTAACCATTCTCTGTTATTCATCCCCAGAGGCTTTAAGGTATTCCTTTACACTGCAACAGGGATCCTTTCTGGTAACTCTCGGCCCAGGTAACACAGCTTCTCCAAAATATTTTCTGAAATAGCATATACAGCTTTCTACATGATTTTTAGACAGAATATATTTGCAGGAATATTAAGTGTCAACCACTACCATCACTCAAACACTGTATCAATATATTCAAAATATAAAAATATTGGATGTTTATAATAAAATTCTTTGGAGTGTCTAAGGACTCAAATACTTTGACATTATAAAATATTACAAAACAATATTAAAGGAAAAGAAGTTAAGTAATTTCAGATACTAATAATAGTTTTTAAATCAAATGTTTTAATTTATTTGGACTAGCTACATGGACAGACAGATGAATACATATTAATTTATATATATCTTTACATTTTCTCTATCCTATTACTACATGAAATATTTACACAGAAAATTTGAATGCTTGGACTGATTAGATCCTCTTTTTCTACTATAAAACAATTAGTAATATTCAGGAGAAATCATGCAACTGATAATGTACAGTGTAAATTTTCAAAAATGAGATGAAAATTCCTGAATATTTTTCAATTATATTTCTTAGATGTTTTCCTTAATAACATTAGGAAAACATTAAATCTGTTTGTTGCTTTTCCTTATGACCAGGATTTTATCACTACTTTTAAAACACTGTTAAAATACATCATGGAATGCATACAGCTATAATAAAAAATTTTAACATTATCTATCATTCTGAGTCTTAAGAAGCCCAATTCTAAATCCCTAAGAAGAAGTGACAGCAAATGTTCCCTGAAGTTCCCTTAGGAGAACACCTAAGGAGGAACCCTTCACTGCACGGTTCCCTCTTCTTACACTGACTGTGGCACATCTCCTAATTTTGCTACCTGGGGACACAGAAACCTGGTAAGATGGCGGCTTGGCATGAATCACCTGCTGTGGAGTTCCTCTGACATCTATGACCTTACATGAAACAAGAAGGACAGACACTGAAGAAATTCTAGATTGGTCTCGTTTAATCTAAATCATAGATCAAAATAGTGCGCTAAGACAACCTTGGATGAACTGTTTACAAAGATATACAGTTGCCATCCAACATACTGTTTAAAAATGAATGATTTCTTCTGAATGATTCATAATAATTGTTGACTATTAAATAAAGCGAGGTGCCATAAATATTTGCTTTCTGATTAGGTTCCTCACTCTAAGTCATTATTAAGTTATTACAGGAAATAATTTATGCTTACACAGCGCAAACATTAAGACATTATTTTTATCCACTTTTTTGCTAACATCACATATTTTAAGGAAGAAACCATCAAAGCATGTTGCTATACTTGCAATCCCTTTGGCTAGTAGGCACACCATGAAAAACAGTTACAGGAGATCTACCCTCAGGAAAACAGCCTCTCCTGCAGTTAAACCCCTGGGCATACTCTTTTGATCCTCACTGAACCTCATCTGCCTAGGTATTTGGAAAGAATGCCAGTTGTAAAATCCCTTTTGTTATAATTAATGTCCCTCACTCTTTGAGTTAGCATTACAATACCATCACCTTATTTCACAATACAAAAATTACAAGGTTCTAAAGATTAACCTCTTACACATGTTGGAAAAATGGCCTGAATTTACTAGTATACTACAGAAGGATACTTTACAGTCTTTATTATCTAATTAACAAACAGTAGAAGTCTAGCAGATCAATGTGCTACCTGATTAATACAACTAGAGGTGTCACTGGGGAGAATCATGTCTGCTTTCTGGCAAAACCATCAGATGCTTGAACCTTTTAAAAAACTTTCAGTTCCACAAAATACTAACTGATTTCTGTTTTAATGGGTCTACAGCCATTCATGCTAAAAGCCTTAATACAAATAGCAAATGTTTTAATATATCAATTGTCTATTTGGATAATGAACTGTAAAGTACACATATTTATATAAAGCTCTGTTCAACCTTGAAATATCACTTAACTAAGTCACTTGAGACCACTAAAATTCTACTCATGCCCAATTCTAGTGATAAAATCAAAGTTTATAAAGGCAACAGAGGGGGGGTTAACTGACTTTAGTGAAGCTGGCATACACCTGTGTATCCCAGTAGGATTTCCTCCTTTTCCTCTCATTGTCCTGCACAAATGTGATTTCCCATAAATACAAATAAAGGAGGAATATTCAGTTCGTGTAGTAGCTAAGTAATACTACTCATCTGTCAAAAAGCACAATTGTGCTTTATTATAAATACAATGCTTAATTATAAAATACAAATCTTAATTAAAGGCAAAAGGACAGAGCATTGAATTAAAGACAAAATACCTATAGTTGCATAATCAGAATAGTTTAAAATAACATGTAAAGAAAGTTAATTGTTACTCTGTAGTTTCATATAGATGTTACTATAGTTTCATACAATGGGGAAAAGCTGCCACAGACAGGAGTATCTCAAGAATACTTCAAGCCCATTACAGAATCCAGGCATGAAACATTACCCTTCACTTTCTGCTTTAGCACCAGATTCAACATGTTTCTGAAGCACATACATCCGAAAATCACACTCAAACTGACACAGGCACATGATATGGTAGATAAGAAAGATGTCCTTGGAAGAGGAAAGAGAAGAAGCTAATGCTTGGGCAAAATTTCTAACTTAAATGCACAAATTATTTGCTCTCCTAGCATCCCCACCACAGGTAAATGAGCTGGGTTATGACAACAAGTTTTCAGTTCTTACGTATGTCAACATCCCAGCTCATAAATTCCCACATCTCTAGTGTCAGGCTCTTCTTAATTTTTCATAACATAGGAAATACATCTTACAACAAATTCTGTGTTATGGAATACAGAGAAACTTGTGTTGCAATTAGGACTAAATTGACATCTGAAAAGCCAGACCCCAGTCCCAAGCCTCTGCTCTCATAGATTGAGTTTGTTTTGTTGGGTTTTTTTTTTTGCTTGGCTCTCTGAATTTTACATGCCAAAGCAGGTTCCCTACAACAGGTTGCACAGGAAAGCGTCCAGGCAGGTTCTGAACATCTCCAGAGACGGAGACTCCACAACCTCTCCGGGCAGCCTATTCCAGTGCTCCGTCACCCTTACAGTAAAGAATGTTTTCATTACGTTTGTCTGGAACTTTTGCTGTTCTAGTTTTTGCCCATTGCCCCTTGTCCTGTCACCAGGCAACACCAAAAAGAGCCTGGCCCCATCCATTTGGCCCCTACATTTCAGATATTTATAGATATTGATAAGAACCCTTCGCAGTCTTCTCTTCTCCAGGCTGAAGAGTCCCAGCTCTCTCAGCCCGTCCTCATAAGGCAGGTACTCCAGGCCCCTCATCATCTTTGTGGCCCTCCTCTGGACTGTCTCTAGAAGATCCCTGTCCCTCTTGAACTGACGAGCCCAGAACTGGATGCAGTACTCCAGATGTGGCCTCACCAGGGCAGAGTAGAGGGGGAGGAGAACCTCCCTTGACCTTCTGGCCATGCTCTTCTTAATGCACCCTGCTCTTCTGCAAGACTCTGATTTGACCTGGGAATAACTTTTAAAATGAGAATGACTACTTCTACAAAAACTGAGAGCAATATAATACCCTTGGATCTCCGAAACCAAAGTGCACAGTAAAGCCTCTGCTCATCTCCCGTGTCAGACTCCAGAGTGCTGGGGGGGGGCATTTCTGCCTCATGGTTTTCCACAATATTCTGATGGGAATGAAAACAGAGTCTCTGAACTGAATTATTGAATTCGGTTTCATATCTTTGAACTGCTTTTCTCTCACACCATATTCAGGTTTTTAATTCTTAAACTGGAACACACAAACACTTTCATGAAATTACATTGAGGTTATGAACGAGGGATTATGATTTTCCTGCTATGTCAAACATAAGCAATACCTGAATTACAGAACCCAAAGATGGCAGATCCAACAGCCTTCTGACCACATAGATCCTTTTTTGTTTGTATAAAGGTTTTCAAGTCTCCTCCAGTCTAAAGATTTCCTCTAAAAAGGCAGATGCAGAAGTCATTGCTTCCTTGGAGATCAATAAAGTTCATATTTATTTGAGATAACAGCCTTTTTTTTGCCAACAACAGCAAGGCTAATTGTGAGCGGTTTTATTTTTAAAAACTGCAGATCATAATGCATTCAAGAGATGCCTTCTTCCAATCGTTATGGTGATCATGGTAACCGCTCTCATTTTCAGCTTCTTAGAGAAAAGCCTCGCTCCCTTGAGCAAGTACCCTTGGGAGAAAATGAGACAGCACTTGCATAAAATCATGTGCACAGCACAGAGATAAAGCCGTGCTGTTGTTAGGCGGCATATGCTGCACAAAAATAATTTGTACTAAGTAAACCTTTCAGTGTCTGCAAAGCTGTTTAATGAAAGATGTAAAGAAGAAACAGATGCCTTTTGTATAGCGATCAGAAAAAAAATCCCTTGCTTTTCTAAAAAAAAAATCTACCTCAAAATCCAAAGACACTCATCTTAAACATAACTACAAATCCTGTAACATTTATTTTCTTGTATATGAATGTCTAATTTCAGCTTTATTAATCAAGATATATTTTTAAATTAAAATACATGTTGCATTTAAAATTATTTCTTACATTATCATGTGATATTTCTATAAAATAAAATTCTTACCTTAATAATTTTGTTCCAGATGGGCTGCATAATGTACACAGATAAAGGATTTGTATCCACAGCACTGTACTGTGAGAAAAAGAGCAAACATTAAACAAAACACTGAACAATGCATATTTTTCCATCACTGTATATTCTTCAGCATCTAAGAACTCACTCTGAGTGTGATTGATGTAAATTTATTTTATTCTGATGACCATTCACAGTTTTAATTTAATTCAAAAGCACTGGCCTAGCTTACAACTACCTTGTTAGCAACTCTGTGTACTCACACAAAGGTTTAGGCTGGTGAAACAGCAAACATTTTTGTGGTCACATTTTACTTTTACACTCTTATTCATTTTACAAGTTATCCTGTAAGACTCCAAATTCCTACCATATTTTGGATTTAATACCTTTATTTGCACTACCTCTGAGCACCAGTTCATTGCTAGTATGTAGAATAGATAGTGCAAATGGAATATGGTCATAAGTGGAATATTATCTCACAGAGACACACAGCTTTTGACATAGTAAGAGTTGCATTTGCATTATGCTCATTAATGTAAGGCAATGTTGTTATAAAAATAAGCTCTACAATTGCACAGTTCATTACCACCTTATTGCTCATACTTGTAAAAATATTATATGTTTTATAAATTCCAATAAGTACATATCTATATCTTTTGCAAACAAAACATTTCAGAAATCCAAGCCCATCCCAAATTGCTGCTGTCTACTTTCTACTCAGAGGACAGCATTGAGTTTTATCCTGCCTTGAGATTGCAGAACACAGAACAATCTGCAGAAGAATGATCTTAATTGAGAATACCACTCACAGCTATGTTCTTGAACCCTGGTGGGTCCACGGTGGAAGAAGTTGGTCATCATTGGGGTTGTACAAGTCATTCTTTCAGAAATTCTTGGACTTTGGAAGTGCATGTATGGCTTATGTTGTTAGCATGATGCATATGACTCACATAAAGATTCAGATACCTACATACAGCCTTGTCCAAACATCATGTGCGGACAATGGGAATGAGATAGGGATGTGTTAGACCACAATTTGTTGAAGCTGTTCACATGCAGAAGAGCTGATGATAGAGTGGCTTTCCTTCCACCTAATTTCAGCTAACAGCTAATTGTTCTCTCTGTAGTTAAACTATTGACCTCTCTTAGCCAACTACCTTTTGGATGAGACTGCACTCTGGAAGTACCTGTTTCAAGTCACTAATTTTCAAAGGAGCCTAGACACTTGTCTTAAACTTAAGCACCTTTTAGGCAACTGAAGTCTGGCAAAAGTAATCTCAGTTGCAGTATCCTCATTTACACACACACTTAACCTGCACACATCTGAGCTGAGAGCTTTCAGTGGACAAGTGCAAGCAAGACAGAAGATTAATGCACTATGACTCGGGTTTTGAATGCACAGTCTGACTTTCCATTTAATCTTTCTGAGTGTATCAGAGTGCTTAAGAACTGTTCCACATATTTCCTTTTTCTATCTGCATACAAAGGATAAGTTTTAATTACTCTTTGCACAAAACAAAGCACTTGCTGAGTGATTTTGTAATTTGTGGTTAAGTTTTAGTCACAGATAACAAATGTAGTATACTTGTAAAATTATTATAATACAGCTACATGTTGTAAATACATATTGGCGAATATTCAAGAAATCAGACTAAGAAATCACTGTCCAATGGTCAGACTAACTTTCCACCAGGAATTTAGTGAAGTGTACGTCACTGATTTGTTTTTCTAAAAATATTGGAAGCATCACTCCAGCGTATCATTTTTCTCTGCTTCTGCCACCCATAATATTTAAAACATGAGACAATTCTGTCATCAACAGCTTTTCTGTCAGAATGTATATAAGAATTCTTAAACACTTTCCCTCAGAAAAAAATGAATTTGCAGGTAAAACTAAATTTTTTACTATTCTGTATGTATTTGCAGCTCCAGATGCTGTATTTTATACTGTATCTTTCAAATATTGATTATTACAGCTGACTGATCTTTTGATGGTCCAGCTGGCATGTGAACTAACCCAGTCTGAACTGTTTGTCAGTTTTGCTTATATTTATGCCAAAAATAACAATAATATCAAGCCACACAACACCTATGCCAGTAAGAGAGTCACCTAGTACTTAATTCACATGAGAACTATAGAAATCCTCTGAAAATGAAGAAAACTCAAAGTATCCATCAGCACTATTGAGGCTTTAGGCAATCAGGAATCAGCCCAAGTTTCTCTGTAGCTATTGCACATTTCCTTACCTCAACTGGTATTCAAAGACTCTGTGAGGTATATGATAATTTGCTAACCAGGAAATTCAATTAATTCAGTCATACCTGGATAAGAATGTGCCAAGGTCAAAAAATATGACCTTCACTCCTGCTCCTGCTTCAGCTTTCTCCTTCTCCACTCTACCCTAAGCCTTCAAAGTCATGAATAAAATCACAAAATCCTAGTTAAATAACAACAGTAAAATGAGTCTTTCTACCCAAAGTAGTCACGGGCTGTCTAGAACTATTACTTGCTCCCAGGGGAAAAAAAAAAGCAAAACCAACCTAATTTCTTTAAAATTATTTTCTTATATAGAAAATATAAGATATTATAGAGGAATTATATAATTTCTATATTTTCTTAAATGGAAAATGTAAGATATTACATAGTTTTCCAACATATTTGTATATAACAGACACAAACATAAGACACAGTCAGCTTTTTGTTTGCGTGACAGTTTCCAAAGTCAAGCACCAAAAATCAAAACAGTCCTTATCAAAACAAAGTAGAATTACAGCCAGCTTCTGTCATCTAAAGACACGTCACACCCATCATACTTCACCCCGTTCATTCTTGTGTCCATGTCTGAACTGTGGTCATCTGGGTGGGGAAGGAACATTCAGCAGATGTGCAAAAGAATGGAAATTTGCTTTTCCCTCATCAGGAATCAGTTTTAGCCAGACCAAAGGAAACACCCATGGAAAAAGCATTTTGCTAGTTTTCTGTCATGGTAAAAATAAAACTTAACAAATAAAATCTGCTATATAGTTTAACATTCTGCTTTGCTCTGCTGCCAAGAAGCTACTAACCTCAAGGGCATGAAATCCTCAGGAGTTTACTGCTCATGGCTGCTCAGAAAAGCAAATCATGCTCACATTATGATCGATGAACATGAATGCGGGAGTGCACTGAACCTGATGTAAAAAAAGTCCTGATATTTGCTATTACATAATCCTGTCCTTTTCAGGGCACTTATATTAAAAGACAGAAGCAGGGGATAAGCCTGTTGGAGGTTTTTAAGTGCAAGACTGACACAAGTGCTAAGCACTCCCCAGCAAACATTTTCTGCACTAGAAAAGGGATCTTCATTGTCCTTATACAAAGAAGAAGGGCTTGGATTAATCAGAAAGCTTCTGTTAATTATTTTTAAAATAAGTTGTAACAGTTGGGAGGGAATTACAGCAGTGAGGGAATATGAAAAATGACATTAATCGACTCCATCTTACTCCCAATTTAAAAAATGCTTCTGCTGTCTTTTTTAAATAGCTGATAATTCCTTGAAAGCCATCTGCTTTCCCTCTCTGTGTTAATAATGGCTTCTAGCAGAGCTAGAAATGAGAATACAGACAGCAGACACGTGCACACGTACATGTTGATGCGGGTGGCACACCTAAGATGTGCTTTTACTCCGTGCCCTGCATCTCAACCTCCATCCAGGGGATCCAGCACAGCATCGGGTCTGTACTGGTCAGGATTAAGGTGAAGGGGGCAATAAGGTATAAATGGTAAGAAAAGTAAGAGTAACGAAAGAAAACGAATCGAGAAAAAGACAACAAAAAATAAGCCAAAGCAAAGGTTTGGCTACACAGAAGAAAGACAACTGTTCAGGAGCGGCTGAGCAGAGCCAGTCTCCCCGTAGGTCAAAAGCACTTACAGTGACCATGGTCTGCACGGCTAAATACAAGATGAACAGTACCTTCTGGCTCACATCCACACAGCTTAGAAATACCTCCCTTTATTGCAAACACAATTTGAGGTGTTCGAGTGCCTCCACACCTCAAAGCATCTGCTGGAGGGGGTCTGGGGCTCATTATCTTGCCCTGCACACATAACACATTATTAGTGTTGAGTATGTTTCAGTTTGAAGTATCTAAAACAATCTGGACACTACTTTGTAACTCAGCGATATCACATTTTCAGAGTGTGGAAGTGAGAGTTGTGTGTTGTGCATGTTCAAAGATCCAAATGCCCGTGTTGGGAGACTGATGAAGGATGGTGAAAGCCAAAAAATGGTATGTAATGCCTCCGGAATGGACTATTTTCAAAACAAAGCCTAGCTATTGTCTTGGGCAGACCTTCTGGGAAAGAAAAAGAACCAGGGAGTGAGCTAACCATTAATCAGAGCAGACAGCTGGATCATCACTGGGTTCTCTGGTCCCCTCCAGCCTTGCACTGTGGAGGTATCCCAAGAATAAAATTTTGGACTGAAGAGAAGACTCTAAAGCAAGTCCACAAAAACTTCAGTCAGGAGAGAAAGCAAGTTGCAAGAAACGTAGTTGAAGTAACTGCTGGGAGATAGTTACTTTAACTGGAGCTGGTCCCTATGCTAACAGACTATTCCTTCCTGTATTTAAATTCTCTGACTCCAGGTAGTGCCACACTGCACCATACAGTCATATGCATTCAGAGATACGGAGTAAAACTGTTGTGAATTGTTTACATTTGAATTGTTGGCATGAAAATGACTCCGTAGGTTTTAATTTCATATTAGTAGCAACAAATTTGCAACGCTTCACATTCCAGAAAGCAGTCAATTCATCTGTTCATTAAAATTTGCCAGAACTTCATGAATCAGCACAGAATTTATTACCCCCATTATGTACATTGGAAAACTGAGGCACAGATGGGCTGTGACTCACCCCACGAGTATCTAGCAAAGGATACAACCACAGTATTGCTATAAATGTCATTATTTACATATATAATTTAAATATAAGCAATACCAGTGCTAGTTTATTCAAATAAAGTCTGTCCATATTAGCTCAACTTTATACTTGAGTTCACTTTTACAAAAGGA